TCACGTATCAGAATTGTGTCTTTTTCCAAGGTCACTTCCTACAGTAGAGGGCATGTGAGCAGAAAACTCCCTATTTTGGTTAACAGCAACATGTTTGTGAAACCACACCTCAGGCATGTACAGCGGCCGTGTTTACCAACGCTGTTTTGGGGCCCCGAAAGAGGAGTGGGGGGCCCCTTCGGCGTTAGTGTTTGTGTTCCATCTTGCTGGTTCATGACAAGTCATGACATGTAGCATTACTTTATGAGCAACAATGTGAAAATACGCCAGTGATACTTGTTCTTCAGTATGGCTAGAAAAGTCGATTGGCAGGGGGATTTTTGATTAAACTGCAGACATGTTTGGGAACCTTTATTGATAGTTTTATTGTTTTATTATTTTTATGCAGTGAAAGTCACAGCTGAAGCAATGATGCACATAATCCGTGCTTAGTGGACACATACATTAATCGGGTCTCTTTCGTTACAAAACTGCTTCCCCCTGCCCGGGGCAACTACCATCCACATTAGTTCCTACCTGTCACAGTAGTTTCACAGGTAGCGATAGCTCAAGACGGATTCACAGACAAGCTGCCGTTTTCTTTCTCTCCGTTAACTTTCTTTGGTTCCTAAAGAACATATGTCTGTAAGTACAAAGTGACATTAATTGTATTACTTACCTTAAATACTGACATGATAAGCTGTTAAGTTGTTCACGATCTGTGAAAAAGGTAATATAAACACTGAAGTGCTAATCGCGCTAAAGCGCCAATGGGATTTGCAATGTTATATTAGCATCCCGCTAGTAGCTAATTTTACCGCTTGTATTATTTATTTATTGCGTATTGTTTGAGTTGTAATATATGTATTTCATATATTATACGTTCAGTTTCATAGTGTATCTTTTAGAAAACATCTCAAACTGCAAGACTTCATGCTTCCCGGATGTTTATTGGAGGAGCCTCTTACAGTAGCTATCTGTCAAGCTAAAAACTGCGCACTAACATTAGCAAGGACAGAATATTTGTAGCGCTAGCATTGATATGTGTTTGTATATTTGTCCGCAAATTTACATGACCTCAAATGTCAGGCGACATAACTGGTGAAAGGGGGCTTTTATTTTGAAGTCATTTTAGAAAACAGAGGACAGGAAGTTGCATCATAACGAAGACCCCAAGGTGACTTTAATGGTTCAGTAAAAAACGTTTAGTAGAGCGACCTCAGATATTAATAAAAATGACTATTTTCAGCTCATGGTTAGGCTTGCTCAGTTTCATGCCATGTCTAGGGTAACGATTTTAGCAAAGTCGCTGGGTCTACTTCACATTTTACTGTATCTAAACCAGGTAGCCTTTATATTACAGGCCGTAATATAAAATGTAACTACAAGCATAGCATCTCTGTTACAGGGGTGTTTCTAAAATGTTTTAAATGGGGTGGCACAGGGCAGACCAACGAAGAGGACTGTAAGTCCAAATTGTGTTCCTTCACCTTGTCTGCGTGCCAATTCCGCCTAGTACGACTTCTGGCCGCTACTCCCGCCGCGCAGCAGCGTAGCTTGCGTATTCCCAGCATCCTAGTTCTTAGTACTTGCGTATACCCTTAAAATGATGGTGAATAACGACTTACGAACATTTCAAGTTACAAACGGCCGTTCGGAACGTAACTCGTTCGTAAGTAGAGGAGCTTCTGTAAATACAGCTTTGACAATTGGCTCCCAATTCAATAATAATATGCATCATGTTCGTTCATCATCTCAAGCAGTCACTATATCAAGCTATAACTCTTGTGAACTACTGACTACTGAAGGGACAATTAATGAATAACACTGAACACTAACTGAAATACTGATCTCATGTTTGTAGTTGTGACACATCTTTTATCCCAAGCTGTTACTATATTTGTTACTATGTCTGTGATCATCACACTCCTTTGTAACTGTAGGTCTTTTGGGAGCTAAACCACTGAATTGAGTAACAATCCCTTCAACTATATAAAGAAAACTCCCAATAAGATAGAAAGACTTGCTTATTGTATTGGAGATAGGATGCGTAGGACATTCATTTAATCATGCAAATAGATTAAAATTGCATTTTGGGCACTATAGGCCAGTGTTTCTTCACCCGATCCTCGTGGCCCTCAGACAGTCCACGTCTTTGCTCTCTCCCAGCTCCCTGCCAGACAGTCCACATTTTTGCACGTAGCTGGGAGGGAGCAAAAACATGGACTGGAAGTCCCCGAGGACTGGACTGAGAAACACTGCAATGGGCTAATGTCTGAGAAAGCAGGGAAAAGGCTGTGCTTCTTATTTGGTTTTTAAAAAAATCCTGTTACCAGCTGTTTTGAGTTGTGTTAATTAATCCTGGGCTTTTAAGTCTACATTAGAGTATGTTTCCCCAGTCCGGTCATTGACGTTGTGTTGCTGTTTGGACTTGTCTGTCTTCACATTTGATTAAACCTCAAGTTCACCTGATTTCGTGAGTCTCGCTCCAGCTTCCCCGGTCCGTGCCCCGCATTACATAACTCTCAGGACAGAAAAGCACCGATATTAATGCCCTTCCTCAAGCTCAACATGTCTTCTAAGATAAGATTCTGTTTCTTGATGGAACACCCGTGTTACATAGATGTATCCACCATTTCAGCTGAAGGACCGTGTGCATGTTGCAACATGCAGGTGATGAATGGAAAGCAAAAAATACAACATTGTGTTTTGGGCACTATAGGCCAGTGTTTCTTCACCAGTGGACTGTCTGGCAGGGAGCTGAGAGGGAGCAAAAACGTGGACTGTCTGGCAGGGAGCTGAGAGGGAGCAAAAACGTGGACTGTCTGGCAGGGAGCTGAGAGGGAGCAAAAACGTGGACTGTCTGGGGGTCCTTATGTTTCAAAAAGCAGGGAAAAAAGCTGCACTTCTTATTTGGTTTTAATATATTCCCTAATAACTTGTTTTCTGATATGGAAACGTAACAGAAACATAACACGATTTTTATTCAATGCATTTATTAAGTATGACAGCGTAGTGTTTACTGTGTTGAGGGAATAGTTCCAGGTTAATGGTCAGCAAGAATTAAATGAATGATGTATAAAAGATCAACTTTACCACTGGTTAATAAAACTAAGCTACACAGACTGACTGCTAGCAATCCCAGTTATAAAACGCCAAAGAAAAATGTAATTAGCAGAAAGGATGAGGAGGGATAGTGACATAAGGATCATGTCATTCAGATGTCAAGAGTCTGAACATGTGAGTCAGTGTCGTCCTTCAACAGCTGCTGTCTTTCGCGATCAGGATGTTTTCTTTGGTTTCCCTAGAGAAAGAAACCAACGTCTCTTTGAGTGAAATATCAGTTCAATATCTGAATGTAACAATGAATGA